TTTCGCCAACCTGGTCTAAGCTTTCATCTATTTTAAAAAAGGTATCTTCATAGTGAGGCAGCATTCTGAACACAACTTTCTTATATCAACGAATCTTCGTGGCCTACAATCGATGCCAGACTTAAACAAATCACCAATTTTTAATATTAGAGGCGAGCTTTCTCGCACACTGGGCCACAACTTCCAAAGACACTTTCTATTCGGATAAAATATACTTCAGATGGAATTGCATCATTTGCATTTCTTTTTTGTTTATGTTAGGTCGCCAAAGCCATTCGATAGACCGGTGTCGCCCAATAGTCCCTCGCATTACCACCACCACCATCCCCAACGTTATCAACTGCAGCAGCTACGGCAGCAGCCCCAACACCAACATCAGCAACAACAACAGGCCCAGCATTATGCTCGACACATGATTTCAGATAGACCAAGTTACCGAGTTCCCACTGCCCAGTACCCCGGGCTAGGAAGTAAACTGGTCACCATGTCAAGCAACGAAGGGCAGGCCAGCACCAGCCTAACGAGTCGGGAGCACAGTCTGCCTCACCGAGGTGCCGGTGATGGTCCAATGGGTCGAACTATGCAACCACAGCCCCATTTAAGTTCGTCAAGACATACCCATACAAATGGGGCCTCTGATAGTAGTAGAACATCTACCCGTCTGACTGGAAGTGAAACTGGTGAGACGACAACTATAATGGAGGAACCTATAATAACTTCAGAAGTTGGGCCCAGAAGGAGCATGGAGAATGTTTTGCCTAACGGTCGCAAAGCTTGGCTGGTACGAAATGTGCCTTCAGGTTCAAGCGGCCGTATGGAAAGCGAAAACATTGTAGGGGTTAGTAGTGGGGGCAATGACTTGGCAGATGGAACAATCGAACTAATAGTAAGCCATTGAATTGCCGCTTAATCTCATACTTTTAATGTTTTCAGTAGCAGGAATATGCTTCAATGGTTGATTAATATTTTGGGCATCGCGAGTTATTATACTCACAATAAACTGGAGAAAAGATTCGCTTTTTGAATGTATTTCGTTCTAATTCGTCTTAAAAGTGTATAGTTATACAGTGTGGATTGCAGTTTTGACCTAATATCGGTTCTCATTAATATCAGCGAGACCTATGCTACTTTGGATACAACTTTGTATGCATCAAATTTAAGGCGACTATCATTCTTATGCTAAGCAATTATGAATAAGGCAGGCTAGTCGATTTATTGCAGTTATCGCATTCTTATATCTTCTCTCACCCTTTTGACTAATTACACGCTTTTTTATTGGTTTTGGCAAAAAATATTTAATATAAATACGGCAAGTCTGAAATTCCATCCTTATAAATACAATATATACATTTGGATATCTCAGTGCAGCTTACACATACAAACTGCGGTTGCAGAGGATTATGGCTTCAACAAAATGGAAAGCATCAAATGGAAGCTGAAATACAAATCTTTAATCGGTTAAGACATTGTATAGGTGTGTTTGCATTTCTGGAATTTTAACATATTTGCGTAATGAAGTAGACGGATTAATATTCTTAATTTGTTAGGTAAAGGTACTATGTTATTATCATCATTGTTAAGCAAGGACATTCTGCATAATTTTAAGCCAACGCCAGTATTTTACCTAAACATATAATTGTCCTAGAGGAACTTTTTTAATTTTTTTTGATTTAGACTAAATCATAAACATCAACCGCATGCATGAAAAACTATTTCTATGTGTGATGTTAACATTACAATTTTCAGGAGCTACAAAGATAAAGCAATGGCCTTTTTGTGTTGGGACAATTTAGTGTAGATGTTAAAAATATAAGTATAACTGAATTTCGCTATAAGAACGAACGGCATGTTGAGTCTACTCTTTGTCTTGTTGACATTTTCAGCGATTTTCTGACGTAGATTACCCAGGGGCGTTCATAATGTTTTCCCTCTGTTCAACGTTTTGCAATGTCAACATCAGTCTTAGTTTAAATAGCAACTTAGAAGTTATATGATTATTTAAATTTCATAAAAAAAGGTAAAAACATCTTAATGGACATACACCACTTTCTATGTGTGAATGATGTGCAATATTAACAAATTTAAAGGGTTTTTTTATTATCATATTATTCTCTCATCCAATAATTTTTTATATAATGCATTTCCGTCGTGACGTCGGTCATATTAATTTCGTGGGTAACTTTCTTATCAAAAAAAAGGGATCCTCACAAAATATTTTAGAATCATATATATTCCTTGAATTTTACCTGATACTTATTATCTCTTTCACGATCCTTCTTTTTAATTATCAAACAAACGTAAAAGGGGCATTTTTCAAGAAGGCCCAAATACCCTCTCCTGTTTTCATATCTCTTCTGAACATCTTGACCGGCTGCCATACTCAAGTGGAAAAAAAAGATTGGATTTCTGTCAACGCCAGCTGCACGAATATCGTATTTTTCCCTAGCATTGCTAGAAGCAGTCACAATAGTGTCAAATTGGTACTTGATGATGATATATGATTGAACTCCAGGCTCTGTTTCATTAAATTTAATAAGAATAAATAGCTTATGTGCAAATAGCAAATTTCTAGACAGCTTTTCTAAAGGGACTTATGCTCAGGCTATAACTCTCCTTTCTTACCATGGGGAAATATGCTCATCTATACATTAGACCTTCGCGTTCCTTTTAAATAAGGATTTATCTTACTTGTAACCTTGAAAAAGCAGTTTTTATTTATATAGGAATTCACCATTTAAATAGACAATATTAAAAAGCAAATATTTTAAAAATTTGTGTAACCTTTGACAAATCTGTTTTAGTTTGCCTTTTGATATTTTTACCAATAGTTTACTTGTTTACCTATGAAAATCATATTAAGGTGTAAAAATTAGACTTAATAAATGATACATTTTAACATAGAGACGTATGAAAGTTATTTTCTTAAATCCTGAAGCGGTTTTATTTACATTCTCTTAGCCTAAAAAATACTTTACAAGTTCCAAGTGCCATTTTCGGCTGATAGCAGCGTTAATCTCCACAAAACTCTCAAAGCATTAATACTACATTGATAGGAATCATCATAAATAAATTCTGATATAAAATGAGCGGCATTATTATGTTTCCATATCCTTATATTTATGGTCAGTTTTTCATTAGTTCAACTAGGACTTGAACTTTATGAAGCTCTGCATGGTATAGCTCTGAGCTTTGCGGGGCTTAGCGTATAATTTATCAACACCGGAATCGTAGGCAAGCGCTAACCACAGTTTATTGCGAATTTATCAGCTCTTTGATAGATTAAGTGAGCTAGTCCGTTAAATAAGTTGGGTCTTATCCATTAGTTCCAGATAGTCACCAGTATAAAACTTGTGAATAGCAGGCGACAAATTGGGCCTACATGACAGGCTCGTAGACACACATTCTTTGGGTTCCAAGAACGTTTTTGACAAAATTTGGTCAATTATTCTAGCGTTGAAACGTAGTGAATCGGTTATAAAATGATCTTCTCGTTACTTGATTGTTAATATGACGCAGCCCTTAAAAGAATTACCTTCAAATTTGCCTAGTGGATAAATTTATATATATCATTGTCCGAAATGAAATGTAAGGCCATCAGACTTGGTAAACAAAAATAACTTATTTAAAAATTGATTATTTTTTTGTTTTGGTACGCTTTTATTATACTTGGGAAACTGTTTAAAAAACAGGACATTAATTTGCATTCTGAACCTATGGTCTTTTACTAACATTTTAAATTAATTCGCGAGGCGTATTAAATTATCACACATTATGAAAACATGTTATTTGGTGAAATGTCCACAGTTTACTCTTTCTGAATATATGCCAATAAAGGAAGCTAACGACTTAAACTGTCCAACGACTTAAGGATTTTTAGAGTTTGCGAAAGTTACAGATTGCTTTATGAGGCATCTAGCCCAATCGGAATGTTTCCAAAATTTGGATACGTCTGTGAAGCTTTTCTTTTTTTAATTATATATCGAAGGATGGTCATTCTGTCTATGTAGTTCTGGAGTAGACCGTAGTTTTCGGTTTAAAACATGCTTCATGGCTGCCCTGTAATACACCTGCAATTAAATGTTCACTGACTAAAGTGATATATCTTTAAATGTGGAATTAGAATGCGTAAGCTCATTATTTCTATGTAAATACGTCATTTTTACCATAGATCGCCTTATACATTCAGCTCTAATCACAATTTGAGATGTACTTAAGTTCTTGCCTATACTAATTTATATGCGCCATATTCCTTAATTGAACACACTACTAATTCATATAACAGTTAATACCTGCACATTCATACTTGGTGTAAGAACATCATCACTATGACTACTTAGTATTGGTTAAATGTTTAAATTATTTAATTTATTTGTTAAATAACAATTTCTGGACTTTGAACTCTTACTTTCTCTTATAAATTGTTCTCCTCAAACTTGTTTCGTATCCACTATGGACTTACTTTTAATACCCGTTTCGCATTACATCGTATTTATAAATAAGAAACAGCTAGTGTCTCTTATTCCATTAAATAGTATTCCCAATATACTTACTTTTCTCATTTATCATAAGACTAAATTAAAACAAATAAATCTTTTCGGTGATTTATGAGATTATGGTGTTTACGATGAAAAATCGAATCTACAATCAGGTTTTCATGAAGGTCTGGTTGGAATCGATTGCTCTTTCTTCCATGCACTTATCAATGTGCTGCCAGAAATTTGAAGACAAGCGTAATTGGACTAAATAATGGCCCTCAAAATCTATACAGCATGCTGGGCTAAGATTA